CACCATTTCACACCAGAAGGGGAGCACTCCCCCCGGGACAAAGTTCAGAAGGGAGGAAAGAAGGTGGAATGGAAACAGGAAGGAAGTGGCATCACTCACTGCCATCAAGTTAGCTCCAGCGCGTAGCAACCTGATAGGAACTGCCCCCATGGGTTTCTGAGACTTTTCCATCTTTAGGAGGGCAAACAGTTGCATCTTTCTCCCTCGGGGTGACTAGTGGGTTTGAACTGCTGATCTTGACGTTAGTGGCTCACTGCCTAGGCCTCTACACCACTAGGGAAACCTGGAAGTGGGACCAATGATGTTCCATTGTGGGAATTGCAATCAAGGACATGAAACAAAATGTGTGTAAATGGTTGAATGGAAAACTGATCTGCTCTTTAAACCTTCACCCAATTCACAATAAAATGTCGGGGGGCAAAAAAAGTAAGGTTTGTAGCAGAAAACTCTCTGGTATGATTTGCCAGCTGGTGGGCTGTGCTTGCCTTGCTTGAGTTCCTAGGCATGGTGGCTGTCTCCCTGGCCTGGTGTGGCTACTGTGGGTGGGGCATTTGGCATATTGGCGGCTGAAAGCAGAACTTTCTAAGTTGGGCATCACAGCTCTACCACAGACCTCCATCTGAGAGCGTAATTACAGCCCAGGAGCATGGCACTTGGTGGGGGGTCTGTGAGTGTTATCTGGTGGGTGGAGTACTCCCTGCTTTCTCCGCTTTTGTCCCACTGAACTCTCCAGATAAGAATGTGAGGCCCGACTCAAAGAACAACAATCCGGCCTTTGTGGAAGAGCGGTGCATTTCCGCATAGTTGCTTTCATTATGGAGATAAGAAAGAGATTGAAAATGTGTGGCCTCCCATTCCAATTTTCTCGTTTCAACCCATGCAGGACACAGCGCTCTGCACCTCGCAGCCAAGAACAGCCACCCCGAGTGCATCAAGAAGCTCCTTCAGGTAAGGGTGACAACTCCAACTTGGGTCATTTTCATAACCTCAAGGAGCCTTACCTCGCAAAGAAGGAATGGCTCCTCCCTGCCATGCACATACTGAAATACCATCCCAGAACCTTGGGTTCCCATAGCAACTCCCAGGGAAGAGCGCACAGCCATTGCGTCCATTCGATTCACAGGGACCTCGTAGGACAGGTCTCACTGCCTCTGCCATCGGGTGGATGCCGACTCTTAGCTACCCCAAGGGGCAGGGTGGAACTACCCCCCTGAGCTGCTTTACAGGGGTAGAAAGCCTCAGCCTTCTCCCTCTGTGAGACAGTGGTTTAGAAAGCCTGATCGTTCTCCCTCTGTGAGACAGTGGTTTAGAAAGCCTGATCGTTCTCCCTCTGTGAGACGGTGGTTTCAGACTGCAGACGCCGTGATGCACGTCCCAACTTGGAACCCACTACAGCACCAGGCAAGAGAGAGGGTCCGAATCGAAAGGTGGTGTGTCTTCCTAAGACCTGGCCTTTGCACCCCACCCCCTACCCCTCCCCTGTTCACCCAGTGCTTCTTGTTATTTTCTGAAAGCTTTGTGCCTTCTGAGACATTTTTAAAATCTCCTTCCCTGCTGTGTGCGTGGGCATGGGGAGGGGGGGCAGGGGGCAGGGGACACACTTTGGTGACCACTGCCTTATCTTGTGTCATGTTCCTCTTTAGAGCCTTAGTAGAATGCAGCTCCTTTGAGAAACAGCAGAATGGCAACCACTGCTTCCTTGCACGGACCTTGATGAGCTGGGAGCGCTGGTTTTTGTTTTACGTCCGTGGTTTTATTCATCCTTATAATTTTAACTAGCCAACTCCCTGGTTCAATAACCTTGCCAGGAAGTCTATAACGATCCCTGCAAATGACAACTTGCCGTAAATTTTTTGAAGATAAATGTTTCGGGAACTCCCAACAGCGGTCTGGACAGTGGGCCCCAGCTGTTGCCAGTCAAGATGTCGGCTGGCTGTTTGCAAGAGCCGCGTGGGAGCGTAAAACAGGAGTCAGCGAGGTGGCCTGCTCTCTCTAGCTGCTGTCTCAGCCTTGGACCCAGCATCTTTCCGGGATGGGGCTAATGAAGAAACCGTGCTCACATTCTTCAGCTCCTCACACTCGGTGGGACACAGGGCCACTCGTCTTGCATTACATGCGGCAAGCTATCACTGGGGCCAGGAATGCAGAACCGCACCAGGTCCTGGAAGCTACCTTCGAGACAAAGAGGGGCACTCTGGGGGTGCTGTCCTATGTGACTTCCAGCCGAAGACCAGGAACATAGAACTTTGCTTATTGGCCTCCTTGGGGACCTGGCACTCTGGATACTTGACAGCTCTGGCGTGCCTGAGTGCCCCCTGCCCACCCCACCCCACCCCCAGGCCCACTGCCCTGCCTCGATCGCTTTATTGACTTGTGTTTTAAATCTGTGTTCCCATCCCAGCTTGGCCCTCCAGAGTTTGCATCTGGCTCCTGTTTGAAGGAAGACCAAACCTGACAGGCTGCAAACCCTCCTGGGCAAGGACCAGATACTCTAGCCTCGGGTGTCACTTTCTATCTGGTGATGCAAAAGGATTGAATTTTCCCCGGGATCTTTGAAGCTCTCATACAGTTCCTCGTACTGTTCTAAAACCAGGCCAACGCTTGGGAAGTGGGAACTCAATCTTCATTCTTCGCACCACTGCCGGGCAGACCCTTCGCTCGACCGTTGCCTGGTTGCCTTCCCTCGCTTCCCCTCACTTCCTCACAAGAGCCACTCCCGTGGCTCGTTGTTATAAAAAGCCGGGTTCCTGGGCAGACAGCACTGCCCAAATGGCCTTGGCTAATTAGTTGACTGTGGCATGAGTTGAGGTTGACTTTTTGGAGACTAGTCTGCTTGAGGCTGAAGGTTCAAAAAGATCACCTCAGGGCATTAGCTTGCGTGGGTCACCCACACATTCATGGAACTCAAAAGTCAGGACACAGGAGGATTAAAATTCTGTGTCTCATGACTAGCCCAAAGGTTAGCTGTTCAAATTCACCCAGAGGTACCTCCGAAGACAGCCCAGGTGTTCAGCTCCCACCTTGTCCCAGCCTTGAAACCCCATGGGGCAGTTCTGCATTGTAACGGGGGCGCTGTGCACGACTTGGAATTAATTGATGACAGCTAACAACAAGAGCAACCCCTGACCCCCACAGCCTTGGCCTTGACAGAGCTCCCCGTGGCTCCCATTTTAAAGTTCTTCTTCCTCACACACTTAGAGTCTTAGGAGAGTCTTCAAATGAACTCCCTCCCTCCTCCGACAGCCACTGTTCCACCCACTCTTTCTCCTAGCAAGTAGTTCCTGGACACCGTGCTCTGGTGGTGTTGCAGACTGAGCACTGATTGGGCTGCTAACTAGGGATCGGTCGTTCAAACCTACCTTTCTCTATAAGAAAAAGATAAGATTAAAGGTTTACCATCTCTGGAACCGGAAGGAACAGTTCTGTAGGGGTGCTATGAGTCTGAATCTACTCAGCAGCAATGTTCGTGGCGTTGGTGTACTCTGTCACACTTGAAGGAGTGTCCACTTACAAACAACAAACCCCTACCCTAGATGCACAGAGGGGCCAACACTTATAGGGGTTCCTGGGGGCAGGAAGGAGAAAGAATGGGGAGGTATAGCAAACTCACTGCCCTCCGGGAGATTCCGACCCGTAGCCACCCTATAGAACAGGGTGAATGGCCCCTGGGGGCTTCTGAGACCAATGCTCATCTTTCACCTGTGGACTGCTGACCTTGCAGTTGGCAGCCTAACTCAAGGGTAGCCACTATGCTGCAGGGTTCTGGAGATATTAAAGAGGAAGGCATATATTTCATTGTCCTTGAGTGGAGGCCTGAGGGCAGAGACTGCCTGCAGTGGGTTTGGGAGTGACAGGAGGTGGGGGCAGTTGTGAGGAGAATGTTGATTTGGGGAAGGGGAACGGAGCACCAGAGCAGGACATGGGGAGGACGTGGGATGCAGATGGGGGGCTCAGTGGGCATGCTCTTGTGT